TCGGTCCCTTTTGTGGCGAAAAGGGGTATGAAATGGGGTTGGTGTTTTCAATACCAAAAAAGCTGAATGCTATGAAACTTCCCTAGAAAAAATACTTTTTGTTAAATTAATTTATTGTATTATAAGTAGACAATTTTTCTATTTTTTTAATTTATATTTATTGAACAAATTCCTCTGCTGACACGTTTTTGTTGAGTGCCTCATTGTTGTTATTATTTGATTTGGATTTATTTTTAAAAAATCGTTTCTTTTGCAATTGAATTGCCTTGGGAATCAATATTTCTGCATTACCAGATTCTGAAACAATATCTAAAAAAAAATAAGATTTTAGTGTTTTAAAATAAAATGAGAACAGAAACTAACTTCGGCAAGCCAAAGTTTTAATACCCTTGCAGCTTTCAGGAATAAAATTGTGACTAGAAAAGCATAAATATAAAATAAGAATAACCAACAGTTAAATGTAGACTTATTTCACGCTTTTGAAACTTGAACCGACAGACAGACGGACATGGTTAAATGGATTTACTTTATAGGTTTGAAAAGGTCTCCTTTACTGCGTAAAAAACTTCTGGACTAAATTATAATTCCCTCTGCATGGGTTTAAATATATATTTTAAGATTTTGTTATACAAGCCTGTTTACATCAAACCATGTTTTAAAAGTGAAAAGCAGAAAAAGACAGAAAGAAATAGGATTAAAGACAGATGGCATTCTAAGTAAATAGATTGAAATTGAATCAAGAAACTAAGTGTATTATAAAAAATACAGTTATAAAAATAACCTACCGTGAAGTGCACCATAGAAATGTGTAAAGGAGTTTACGGCTTTTTTTTCCAGAAAGGCCTTTAACATTAAATCCTACAACAAACTCATCCGTGAGAACCCTCCGCAAGTTTTTTAAACCCCCTTCTGGCAGCAACAACGATCTCATGGCTTTAATCTAAAAAGGAAGAAAATTTCACTAAAATATTTATATCAAAGAAAAAAGACTTACGTAGGAGTCCTTTGCACCACTATTTCTCCTTCTCCTCTTTAACAAATCGACGAATGTGCCTGTTGCTGTTCATGGCTAAATATCACACATTATTAGGTATTTCACTTGCACAACTCATGGTGTTACTCACCTGTTGACGACACTTCAGATCACAACAAAATATAACACTTTAAATGCACAATAAGACAAATTAAATACATGTTTACAAAATTTGGCGCAAACGTTGGGCTAGTGATGGTAGCGGGGTTGGGTAGTTATGGCAATCCGTTACGATTAATATTGCGACTACCGATATCGTATAATCGATGGCAATAAAAACATTCGCTAATATTATTTTTGTTTAGTTCTATGTATATAAAATTAGGTACTTATATATTTATTTTATATATCTAAGCACCAATAAAATCCGCTTGTTATGGAAGAAAAGAAAACGTTTTGCTACTGAACCACCGCTATTGTTAAAAATATTGCTGCAGCTAAATTGCTCATTATTAAATATAAATAATATAAAAAGAAATAAAATTCTATCATTTATTATTTTATTTTATCTCATTATCAAGTTTTTATTTTATTATTTTAACTTTTTTTAAATTTGTTTTTTATATAAACAAAATAAAGTTGTATTCGTTATTAAAATCATTATATACTTGTCAAAAATTTCATTTTACAATTTTTTTAACTCATATAGAAGTGTTCACATAGAAGTGTTCACTCTCCGATAACTCTTTTGCTCTTGTAAAAAATACACACGCCACCTATTGACCCTTAAGGGACCACTGGGTGGTCGATCCCTTTTCTACCCCGAAAGTGCCACCGGCCCCCTTGAGAACTACAGGGGAATTACTCCCGCGGAGCCTGGCACCCAGTGACTCTCCAACTGTAAGGGTTTAGCTCTTCAGTTTTGGGATCACAAATATTAAAGCTTAGTTATAACTAATTGGATCTTAAATACAACTTCAATTTTTCCCGTTTCTTTTACAATTTTAATATTAACTTTTTATTTATTTTGTAATTATTATAGCTTAGTATTTTAAATACCTTTTTAAATATAAATAAAAAATTTATACCTTAAATGTAGTTTATTGCTAAGTTACTGTAGACTTCACTTAAATAATTTCCCACACAATCTTGTTTTCGTTCGAAGCGTATAATCTATTATAATTTCTGTTTAGCTGAGGTAAATTAAATTACTTAGGCGCAGAATTATTCTCAGTTTTTCAACACGTTCTTCTCCTTATAAATGGCTTTAATGCAATTTCACCTGGTCTCAAAATGCCTGACTTAAAAAAGTTAAAATATTACGAGACTCGTAAACTGCACGAGCTGTCTCTCAAACTGTGCAATATTGTAAATTTCATGCAAATTGCTATTTGTTTCTATACCCTTCGGAGAGCCAATGGGTCGGTCTGCTGGTTATGTTACTTGCCTGCAGTTGCAATTCCTCCATGATTTATGGACATTGCCCCCATCGTTCCACCTGCCCCTCTTGCCCCTCTTGCCGCGCTGCCACAAAAATACAACCGAATATGTCGAATACACATTCCGCCTGCTCCACTTTGTTGCAAGCCGAACTGAATTTATGGCCACCGTGCAGCAGCCCAGCCAACATAGTCGCACGGTAAAAACCCCAAAATGAGCAAAAACAGTTTGAAAAGTGCTTTAAAGCCAAAAAGTGCGCACAAGTTCTAAATTACTTTTCCAAACAGCATCCGCCCGTTGACTCCCCCTTTTGTAATCCCCACCGAATGTCGACGCTATTTTTTATGAGCCGTCTTACGGATTGGAAAATCGAAATCAAAACTCATAAAAATGCAATTTGCGCAAACAACTTGACTTTGAGCAGACCCCTTGGGCCGGCAGGAGGGCAACCCAACCCCCGAAACCCAAAAGTTGGAATCCCTTTCTGCCTTCCTGCTATTGCATACCCTTGAAAAAGGGTACTAAGTCCAAGAGAAGGATAGACACTTAAGGAGATTTAATTAAAGAAAATAAATCTGTAGGTTTTGATAATCTCAAGTCTAAAAATTTTAAAATTGTTATAATACAAAGTTATAATTTGATAATTATCAAATATCAGTAATATTCGAATACTAAGTTATGAGATCATATCATATATTGAATTTATCAAGGGTATTTCTGACTCTAATGCCTGTTAACTACATTATACTAAGTATTATAATAAAATATTATCAAATATCAAGATCTGAAGATATTAATGAGAATATTAAACTAATTATTGGCAATTAAAAGATTCCACCAGACTGTTATATTCGAATACTATTTTATGGATATCATATCATATTTTCCATTTATCAAGGGTATTTCCCAATTCGATCCCAAAGGCCTTTCCTTCCTTCCCCGTTTTTGTTGGGGTCTAGGCCAGCGACGTGTCTGCAATTTGCATGTGCATGACTGAGACTGTAACTGAGACCCGGGGTGCCAAAGGATGAGGGTTGGAGGGAGAACCCGAAGGATTCGGAGTGGAAGTGGGAGCGACCCAAAGGGCAGAGGACAGAGGGTGGCGCCATAAAATCCATTTGGCGCACAGCCGTTAACGTGTTTTGTTGTTTTCTTGTTTTGTGACGGAGTTGGGGGAGTAACTGCTACTTGGGGGCGTGTTAGTTTGTGTGGTTGAAATTTATGTGCCCAAGGGTGGGTGGCTTCATGAAGAAGAAGGGCTGCTGCTGCATATGAAACCGTGGATCCAACTATATAAACAAAGTCTCGGAAACGTGACTGGAAAAAAAAAGTGCATGTAGCCGGAATAGCATTCAGATATTGCCTGGCTGTATGCAAATAACCCGTAACTTGTTGGCTTTTATATTTAAATTTTATTAAAATGGGAAGGTTCAGTGCTTAGACTATCGGATGGCAATTATTAGCTTAATATGTAGTATTTTGTATTATGTTTCTCCATATAAAACTAAAGCCATTAACCAATTAGATGTGATCTAAAATGCGTTAGCATCTGGAAAACTCCTCTGGTTAAACTATCAACTTGTAAGACAATACATTATCATAACTAATTGGAAGAAAATCCCTATCTAGTATACCACTTTCCTACCTACTCCTCCCATTTTCCACACATCTGGTTAACACCCCCAGCAAACTGTTCACTTTAATGGCAACATTTGGCACATTATGAGCCAGCATGGAACTGCCTTCAGTGGCACTTAAGGGCGTGGGGAATAAAGGCAAATAGAACATGTAAAGCGGTAACCAACACACACGCACTTTGCATAATTAATGCAGCGGCAATGTCAAACCCGTTATATGATGTACACTCGAGACATTTTCTGGGAGTCTATGTGTTCTATGCTCTGTTCTGTGTGCATCGTAGACCAACTTTTCCGGGTGCTGCTGGGAATTTTTTTTGTGTTTAATTAAAACAAGAAATTGCCACTTAAAGGCAGCGGTAAATTATGAATGTCAGAATGTCTGTGTCGGTGGGCCCTGGATGCTGGTGGTCCTGTAGTTGGCGCTGCAGTCACGCGCTCATTAGCGAGGACATTGTAAGGGACACATATATGCAGAGGTACACATCAAAAAAATTAGGTAACTTATTTAATGGCCGATTTCTCAATGTGATGTTAAGTGACAGCATGAACTTCAACTGCTAGTTAAAACAAATTCGTTTTCTCAATGTCAGGTTAATTTTACGAACGACAAATCTGAAAAAGATCAAGTGAATTTTTCTTGACTGACAAGTTTAACTACAAGTTAACCTCTAGTTAAATGTTTTTACCTCAACGATTCTATTTTGGTAAAATAAATGAATATTTTATGGTTTTGAAGGAAAATAAGGGTCGCCTCTTTTAAAGAAACATTTCTCGCAGTGCTTTTGTATACGTACACAGGTACAAGGAGGAAGTTCAGCAATTGCTAGGCCGGAAGTCTTTTGTAGGACTCGCACGACTTGAGCACGTCAATGGAGCACCTGATTCAGCAGCGTGCACACACGTACTTAAATGCCTCCCACTCACCTGCTGTTTTTTCTCTTTTCCAGGAACTGAAGGAGAGCTTCAACTACGGCCTGTTCGCCCCGCCCGCCAATGGGAAGGCGGGAAAATTCCTGGATGAAGAACGCCGCCTGGGCGATTATCCCTTCAACGGACCCGTGGGCTACTTGGAGGTGAGTCTCTGGTGCTAGTTACTTACCCACGTTCTTCCCTAATAAATTTTTTTTTTATCAAACTACAGCTCAAGTACAAGAGGCGGGTGTACAAAATGCTCACCCTGGACGAGCGCCAGCTGAAGGCTCTGCACACGCGGGCCAATCTGCGTCGCTTCCTGGAGTGCATCAATGGCGGGCATGTGGAGAAGATAGCCAAGATGTGCGCCAAGGGCCTGGATCCCAATTTCCACTGCTCGGAGAGCGGCGACACTCCACTCACGGTGGCCACGGGCGCCAAGAAGCCGAACAAGCTGCTCATCGCTTTGGTCAACGGAGGGGCTTTGCTGGATTACAGGACCAAGGATGGAACTACCGCTCTTCATAGGGCAGTGGAGCATGACTCCCTGGAGGCAGTGAGGTGGGACAACCCTTATATATTTTCAAGAAGATATTATAATCTGTTTTTTAACCTAAAGTACCCTCCTCGAACTGGGCGCCTCGCCAAACTACCGCGATGGACGTGGCATCACCCCGCTGTACATCTCCATCACCAGGAAGTGCGAGGCCAAGATCACCGAGAGCCTGCTGCACGACCATGCCACGCTGGGCATCCAGGACAGCCAGGGCTGGAACGAGGTTCACCAGGTGAGTCGGTGGCGGTCCTTGGACCCTTGGATCCTCCGTAACAGCAACTGCTTTGACCCCCAGCCAATCCCCGGTGAAATGGTGTTGGCCCAAAAACCGTTGAACGCCAATTAATGATTGAATTCTCTCTCTTTCTTCCTTCTTGAACTCTTCTACTCTAACTCTATAAACAAAAACCAAACAAACTCGCTTGCTAATACTCTGTAACCCGCGTTTATTGGTTGGCATTTGCATCTCTGCTGCATCCTTTGGCTCCCCCGATCCGCAGGCCTGTCGGCATGGCCTCGTCCAGCACCTGGAACACCTGCTGTTCTACGGTGCTGACATGGACGGCCGCAATGCGTCCGGCAATAGTCCGCTGCATGTGTGCGCCGTTAACAACCAAGAGGCTTGTGCCAGAATGCTTCTCTTTCGCGGCGCCCAGCGCGGCGCCCAGAACTTTGCCAATCAAACTCCCTACCAGGTAAAGCCTAGAGTCTGGGAATCCAGGGTCTACACAGAGAAAAGGGTCTTTTAATAGTAAATACCTGAATACTATGGGAGTTACCTCCTTTTAGTTTATCTTGACATTTAGGAAACGGTTAAAAGTAAAATTAAATCGTATAAAATGTAAAAAAAAATCATTAACCACTTTAAATTTCCTCATGAAGAATTGGAAAAGTAAATATCGTTGTAACATTGCCTCAACGACAAAAAAAAATTAATCAAGTAGAGATCAAATATTAAAAATAAAGTAATTCCAAAGACAAGATATTTTCTCTGTGTAAACTCTGGACCCTTAAACTTTTTGAAATTTAGATTTGTTGAGATAACTCGTAGTTTGTAGTCTCTAAGTTGGTACTTTTGTGCTGCTGTAGTTATGCTTGTAGTTTAGTCTAGAGCCTAAGTTAGTTTTGGAATTAATAACTTTCCTTTGGTTTGTGGAATTACGGTTTTCTAACCCAATGCTATCTCCCTTAGGTCGCCGTCATAGCCGGCAACTTGGAGCTAGCCGAAATCATTGAGAACTACAAATCGGAGGATATTGGTAAGTGTTTGTTGACTTCAATACCACCCATATCATTCACCACCCGAAAAAACACTCGACTCGTACTCGCCACCGAACTAACTTCATACTCATCAAAACTCAAACAAAGATCCCATTTTAAAGGAGTGTGTTTCGAAGCCATTTCGAAAGCACACTCCGTGTTTATCGTTTTATTATGTTTCTGATTTACTATTCGTTTGCTCTACTCAATCTATTTTATTAATATTGGTCTCATACAAAACTAGTTTCCTTTTCCACTTAGTTCAAATCAGTTTTCCCCATGAGCGTCTCACTTCATATCGATTTTTCTCTCTCTTTAAAAACACTGCATATCATCTATCAATCATTCAACAATCAATCAATCATCTAGGTCTCTTCCCCATATCAATGTATAATACTCGTATATATATAAATATCTGTACTCTCCTTAAAAATCTATTTAAAGTGCAACCCATACTTTACCCAAAACACCTTTTCGTATTTTGCATTTGCTTGTTTGAGATATTTGCTCCATAAATGTAATCGAATCAAATAGTTTTGTTAATGCCACACTTCAAAATATTTTGGCTGTTCTTGTTCCATGTTTTGTTCAATGTTTTTAGTGTTTTCTCATACGTACATATATCACATTTCCTAGTGAGTTAGTATTTGTTGTTGGCAGGACATTGGTAGAATGTCCTTCCCACTTTTGCTTTTTATCTCGCAGTCGCTTATCGTTCGATAAATGAGCAGTAAGTAAGTGTAAGTACAGTGTGCCAATCGATCCCTGGAATATCTGGCTTGGCTTAGGGTTCTAGATTAATCCTTTAGTTCCTTAATTTAAATGTTATTATACCAAATAGATTGAGTAGAGAGCGTACTGAAATTTGGACAAAGGGAAAGGTGTGAAAAAATATTAAAATAGTTTTATTACTAAAAGAAGAACGGTAGTATAAAAATGCGGGTTCTGGTATTTTTTTGTTAGTATAAAACTGTTCTTATACTACTACTAAAAGTCAGGAACCCGCATTTTCAAGCTACTGTCCTTCTTTAGAAATAATTACATCACAAATCGAATTGAAATAAGTGCTTCTGACATGACGACCAACTAAAACAGATAACATGAAACTAAACCACTCCCAACCTATCCACTCCTTACCCACCAACCACCCACCAACTCACACACATTTTAAGCGAATATCCTTGATCACCACACAGTTCCCTTCCGCGGACCGCCGCGCTACAATCCGAAGCGCCGCTCGGGCATCGGGTGGTTGAGCGCCAACGGAGCCGCCGGCGCAGCTCTGCTGGCAGCGGCTGGCGGTGGTTTCGGTGGTGCAATGGTCGGTGGCTCCAATGGCACTGTGAACGGAAACAACGGGGCTGGCGGTGGTGTTGGTCTGATGCTCAGCCACCAGAATCACCAGAACCACCAGCAGCACTTGGCCAGCGTCCACCATCATCAGCAGCAGCAGCAGCAGCTGCACCACCACCAGCACCACCAGAATCACCACCAGCAGCTGCCCCACCTGCACACCCTGCAGCTCCACGGGCCGCCCTCGCCCTGCCCCTCGGAGCACATGCTGGCCTACAGCTCGGCCAGCTCCAGCCTCTCCGAGGGCTCCTCCGGCCACCGATCCCACGAGGACGACATAAGCATTGTGACAGGTGAGGAATGGCTTGATTTTCGGTTTGATTTCGACCTCATTTGCATTGGTTAGGTTTAAGTTTAGTGTAAGTTTAAAGGGGGTATGTGAAAAGTAAGATTATGTTGAACAGTACTATTATATCTTCGTTAAACGGTTAAGTATTCTTCCAACTTTATTCATAAATTCTATAAAATATTTTAGCATGCTTTGAAGTAGATTTTTGACCGAATAAACTGAAATTGCATGCAGATATTATTATTTAAATCAACATTCATCAATTAAGTTTACTATATTTAAGAGTCACTTATAATATTATCTCTGTCTATGATTTATTCACTATGAATACTTTGATTATTTCCCAATGAATATAAATCAATGCTGTGATTAATTCATTCACATTTAAATATTACTCAATTAATCACCTTCCCTTCAACGTTTCGCATGGAAGTTCCTCCGACTTCCAGTTCATCTCTTCGTAACTTTCCATTTTCAACCGTGTCAGTTCTGAAAAGCATCCGCTTTGGCTCCTTTTAACCGGAGGCTTCCTATGTGTGTCCAAACATTTGCATGCCCCCCAGTCGTTTGTCCTCCGCCCTCATATACATAAAAAAAGGTCCTGAAAAAACAATTACTTATCATTCCATACTCCTCCCCCCGACAAAAAAAAACAGACAAATCCCTGGGCGACACCAGCGACATAATCAGCGATTCGTCGGGCGTGGGAACCAACTCGGATTCGGCAGCCTGCTCCATCGGGCATCCCAGCACCACGGTGGTGTGCATGGAGCCCTATGTGGGCACCACAGTGGGCCACCTGCGCCTCCAGCCGGGCGACGTCATCGAGGTGGTGGGCAGCACCGACTGCGGACTGCTCGAGGGCTATGTGCGCGGCACCAATCAGTCCGGCTTCTTTCCGGCCGACTGCGTCCAGGAGGTGAGTCTGCGCCAGAAGCACATCACCAACGTGATGACCGCCAGCACGGGCATGGCTCCCCAGCAGCAACAGCAGCATCTGCAGCAGCTCCCAGCCTCCTCCGCCGCCTCCTACCAGGGATCACCACAACTGAGCCTGGGCGGACACTCCGGCAGCTCCAGCACTCTGCTCCAGCAGCCCCACCAGTCGCCCTCGCTCTCTGTGGCCAGCAACGGATCCTGCCAGCAGCCGGGAGAGAGCAATGGAGGTGGAGGAGGAGGAGCAGGAGGAGCATCCGGCAATGGCCGAAACAACAACCACTCGGTGGGTCAGTACAGCAGCGCCACTGCTCCGCGCATCAAAAAGAGGTAAGGAAGGGAAAGCCCGTTTTAACCGGGAGTTAAAATTAACCTTACAGATAAGAAATACGCCATGAAAAGATATTTTTCATAAATTAAAGAATTGTTTTTTAAAGCAAGGAACGTTTTCTGAAAACAAAAAATAAACGACTTCTTAAAAAGTAGAAAAATATGTCCTTAAAATTTACGGAGTAAACATGAACTTATCTTTAGAAATTAATTTTCCCAAGTGTAGGAAACCTAACCTCAAAAATACATTTTTTACCCCAAACATAAATTAACCCTTTTTTTGAAATAATCTTAAAAGTCAGATTGGTTTTCTTAAAAATATAAACATTTCCAAAAAATAGAATTTTAGGTTTTTTGTTTTATTTTTTATTTTTTTAAAAATACATTTTTTAACCCAAACCTTAATTAACCCTTAGTTGGAAATAATTATGTGGAAAAATGACCCCTTATATTTATGGCGAATTTCTTTTACATATGTACGGGTAATTTTATTATGATACTTTTATTATGCATACTAAATAAACTTATTTTCTCCCACCGCACAGCGCCTACAACGCTCCACGTTCGGTGGTGCTGCACCGGGCCAAGCGCGGTTTCGGCTTCATCCTGCGCGGCGCCAAGGCGAGTTCCCAGCTGATGCAGCTGCGTCCCTCGGAGCGCTTCCCGGCGCTCCAGTACCTGGACGACGTGGATCCGGGTGGAGTGGCCGACATGGCGGGCCTGCGTCCCGGAGACTTCCTGCTGACGATCAACGGCGAGGACGTGACCTCCGCCTCGCACGAGCAGGTCGTGGAGATGATCCGTTCGGCCGGGGCGCTGGTCAACTTGACGGTGGTCTCGCCGCAGTTTCCCCACCAGATGCAGGCCAGTGTGCAGTATCTGCCCAGCGGAGCACGAGCGGGCAGCCAGCACCTGAACAGCGGACCCAGCACTCCGCAGAGTTCCCATCGCCAGTGCGCCACGTTGCCCAGGAAGATGACGGGTCCAGGCGGCGGAGGAGGTTCCTCCTCCGGTGGCAGTGTACGCATGGCGCCGATGCCACCCCGACGGGATCCCAAAACCACTTTAAGTGTGGGCCGGGCCAGAGCCAAATCCATGGTGGCTGGCCTGGAGAACGGCGGAGAGAAGGAGGACGAGCTGCCGCACACGAAGTCCAACTCGGTGGAGTCGATAGCCACCACACCGACCATTCCCAGCCAGATGGGACCCGGAACTCCGGTGCAGCTGCGCACGGCGAGCATCAAGGCGCGACCCACTTCGAGCAGGATCACGGCCGCCGAGCTGGAGGAGCTCTTCCAGCGGCAGCAGGGCGAGGGGGCGGCCAATGCGAGTGCCAGTCGCTATGCCACCATGATGACCAGCTCCCGTTTCCAGTCGGGAACGGACACTCCGCCCGCCTCCAATGGCTCGCCCATGCGAAGTGGTCCGCTGGTCTACGGCAGCGTGGCCGAGATGAAGCGCAAGACGGCGAGGAGCAAGCATGGCAGTGGAACCCTCCGTGGAAAGCCCGTGGCCACGCCCACCGTGGGAGCAGGGGGCGGAGCAGGGGGTCGCGACCTCAAGCGGTTCCATTCCACACCCGATTTGCATGGTCCCCAGCTGCATGGCTCGGCCTCATCCATTTGGCAGGCCGCTGGAAAAGGTCACCACTCGCAGGACGACGTGGCCACGCTGCATGCGTCGCTGCAACGCTTGAACTTGAATCAGGGAGAGCTGAAATTGGGGGGAACGGGAGCAGGAGGAGCTGTTCTCCCTCCACCCAATCACCCACCTCCACCGCCGCCCGTGGGCCAGGTGGTCAAGGTGGAGACGCGCAGCAGTGTCTCCGAGTACGAGAGCACCGTCTCCTTGCAGCAGAAGCTGAAGAAGCGCACGGAGAACGACGCGGTGACCAGTGCCGCCATCGACGGGGTCCAGAGCAGCTTCAATCCCTCGGCCAATGCCAAGATCTATGCCTCGCCGCAGGAGCTGCGCAACGTGATGGCCTGGAAGTTGCGGCAGGCGCAGGAGAAGCCCGCCCAGGAGACGTCGGCTGGATCTCAACAGCCAGTTAGTCAGTATGCAGCTCCCACGCAAGTGCGTTCTACTCCTCAACAGCAACAGCAAGTGCAACAGCCACCACAGCAGCTGGCCTCCCACTATGCTGCTCCTCAAGTTCAGGTGCAAGTGCAACAGCCTGCTCCTCAATCCCCGCCTGCTCCTCCACCACCTCAGGCACAGGCACCTCCACCAGTGGCGGCACAGAATGGAAATGGCACCTCCAGCGGCGGAACAGTTGCTCCTCCGATTCCCGAACCCGACTACAGCTGCAGCGAGTCGGATGGCGAGGATGAGAACTCCATTCTGGTGGCTCGGAATACGAAGCTCAACGAGAAGATAGCGCTGTTCGATGTCCCAGAAACAAGTGGAAATAGTCAGGCTAGGTGAGATATATGCAATATATACAGGAATCTTTCTTATAACTTATTTATTCCTTACCTTAGCGGAAGCAGTTCCAACTCGGGCAGCGCCTCCATTTCGCATTCGCTCTCCGTGGAAGAGATCCAGCGCATTCGCAGCAATCTCAAGACCTCCAAGTCTTCGCCGAATGGCTTTGCCAAGAAGCCAGAGGAGGAGAAGCCACAGGAGCAGCAGCAGCAGCAACAGCAATCCCACCAGCAACAGCAACATCTGCAGCCTGGCGAAGATGAGTGCGACAACAGCAGCTCCGGCGTGAGCAGCGAACAGGAGCAGATGGCCCTGGCCGCTGGGGGAAAGCCCACCGATACGATCAAGAAGAAGCCATCGGTGACCATTGTGGAGGAGCCCAAGACCATTCCCGATCAGCCAGTCAGTCACACCACCAAGCCCATGGCCAAGACCACGATTAGCATAGGAGGAGGAGGATCAGGAGGAGCAAGTGCTGTGCCCACAGCCACGCTGACGGTGAAACAACTGGTGCAGCAGCAACATGCACCAGTCATCCAGCAGCAGCAGCAACAACTCGGCAGCAAGCAATCAGTAACTGTTGCTGGTAGCAACACTAAGTTCACCAACAGCAACATTAACATCAACAGCAATGTGATGACTAGTCCCCAGGTCCTGGGACGCATTCCCAACGTGCACCACCATCAGCAGCAGTCGCTAAATCCCAACCAGAAGCTGATCGCCACCCAGCAGCAGATTCTCCAGCAGCAGCAGCAGCAGCTGGCCCACCAGCAGCACCTGCAGCAGATCCTCAAGGCGAAGGCCGCAGCAGCGGGAGGAGCCAGCAACACGGCCGCCCTGGTTGCCAAGCACCAGCAGAAGCTGCACAAGGGAACGGCGGGCGGCAGTGGCCACGAGTCGGAGATGGAGGCCCGCTCCGATCTGGAGGACGACGACGGCGATCTGAGTCCCTCGCCGCCGGCCAAGGCCTTCCAGCGGCACAACTCTCTCACACGCAAGCAGGCGGCAGCGATTGCCATGCAGAGGGGCGCCACTAGAACCACGGCGGTGTCCCTGATGCAACTCCCTCCGCCCCTCGAGGCGGACAGCGATGGAGAGCCACAGTCGCAGATGTCGACGCTTCAGCGGCAGCACTCCTCACAGAATCCCCACCCACATCTGCAGCAACTGCAGCAGCAACAACTGCAACAGCAGCAGCAGCAACAGCCGATGGCCGCCCACATCGTGGGCATGCTGCCCAGCGGACAGCTGGTGGCTGTTGCCTCTGGCGCTGTTGCTGGCGTTCCGGGCGTTGGGGCGGCTGCGGTGCAGCCGGGCAACAACAATCTGCAGCAGCTGTGCACCGACAATCTGGTGCTGGCGCCGCCGCCGCAGTTCTGCGATTGCAACGATGCCAAGCACGCGCCGCAGCCGCATCTGCCAACGAGCCAATACCATCCACAGCAGCAACAGCAACAGCAGCAGCAGCAACAGCAGCAGCAGCAGCATCACCAGCAGCAGCAGCAGCTGCAGCAGCAACTGCAGCAGCAGCAGATGCTGCAGATGCACCAGCGTCTGTCCGGCGGAGCTGGGCCCGGAGCCGTGGGCACCTTGGGCCGGGTCCGCATCGTGGGGGCCATGCCCAAGGCCAACCACCACAGGCTGCACTAAGTTAAGCTAAGAACCGGGGGGATCCACAATCCACTGTTTGCCAAATCGTTAAATCGTTAGTTTAGACTAAGTCAACAACAGTCATTGCCACGCACTCACAACGAATAGCTGCAACTGCCTGCGAAGCCGAGGAAATTTCAGATTCTGATTTCGAACCCTTTTATTACTTTTATTATATTTATTGCGTGTGATATAAATTTATGTAGGCTGCCCGCGAGCAGCAACTAACCGCTAATCGAACAGCAAGTATGTATGCAATATTCTATGATTAGTTAACCGATTGAAAGCAAACTGAAGGGCAGATGCTACCCTTTAGTCTGCTTTCGAGCCGCACAATACGAGATGTGTCAAATGTTAATGTGGTCTGTACCCAAACCGCATGAGATCTTAGTTCTTAGTGACGTTGAAGGCCAGGCAAGTTCATTTATTCAGTATCCATCCATTGATCATTCGCATTCGCGTTCGTGTTCGTGTTCGACTAGGCACAAAACATTTAAACGACATTTAACATTTAAACTATAATACACAACTAGCGTAGGTTTTATATGCCTAAAGGCAGGAAGGCCGAGGAAGTTGCACCGAGTAACAATAATATTTGAATTTGAGCATTTAGCCGAATTTCCAGTCAAGTCAAGTCAACTAAACTAAACTAACACTAATACTAAACGATTAAAACGTATAATGTTTTTAAATCAAATATTTATAAAGCAAATATTTCAATAGGCGGCAATTTTATAATCGAAACAAAACAGAAAAAGGGGAAAAAAATCGAAATTTAAAACAAAACGTAAATTTTTGCTAGTAAAATTTACAGATTTTTACTTTTAAAGGATTTTTTGTATAATTGTTTTTTTAGAGAGAAACTTTAACTTGCCAGAGTATTACAGGAGCAGAATTGAGATAAAGCAGCAACGTATTGTATTGAAAGAGGTTCTCAAATATTTGCCAGCGCTTAATGCAAATATCGTCATAGGCAACCCAAACTTATAGATGCGTTTTCACGAGTAACAATTATTATAACTAAGGCTGATTTTATTGCATAACACATACAGAACACAGAAATCGAAACAGAATTCGCCTACATACCGAATGGATTATAATGGAGCAGAAGAACTCGACTAACCAAGCAAGCGATTGATGCATTTACATTTGTTTAAACGAAACTCTTTGAGGTATTTGGGGCAAGAATTGGATGGAGATATAATGAAGTCGTTCGAATTGGCAGGCCGCACCCTTAGCACTAGCATCTAAGTGTTGAAAAGTTAGTAAACCTAAAACTAAACCCTAAACATAAATATTGGAAACTCTAGCGTATAACTAGGATTTAGCACACACTTTTTAGTTCTCGCAATAGTCGCTAATTATTTGTAAATTATTTTAGTTCCCCCGCCACACCCGCGCGTACATGTACACAAATATAATTAGCCATCAAGCTTGTTAATTTTTAAGTTAAACTCTCTAGTAAATACACGTGGAGTGCTCAGTTAGGTTCAACACACATGTATAACTACCTGCACTTCCCATTGCCACTCGATGGGTAAATGCAATGCGGTTATTGCGAATGTGTTGCAACGCTATATAGAAGGATTATTGAATATGCCCATGATAATGTTAAACAATTCAAGCACACACCACCACACATACACTTTAAATGCAAGTATTTCAAATGGAATAATATGGAAATATTTATCATAAGTCGTAAAATATGCAATTATGTATTATGAACATGCGTATGAGAAATTAATAAATATGAATGAAAACTACGTCTCAGCAACTTTTATATTGGGAACCTTATCACTTTGGACGGCAGTCCATGTAGTGACGAAGCGCACAAGGAGAGTGTAATAAATTATATAAGACCGTACTTACAGAACTTGGAACCAAAAACTCTGACCCTCATTTTGCAGCCAAAAACGATGTATTATGGCCGAAACTGTAGAAATAATGACCCAAATTGAGTGTCGTACCTCGTTGAGCTCGAAATTACATTCCCTATCGATTGGCATTACAATCTACACATTTTCAATTTTGGCCATTTTTTGTAAAAAATCATGATGTTACCCCTTATCAAAAATGCGAAAATTGCTCAAAATTTTAATTTTTCTGAATCAACCGAAAACTGACTAGAATCCATAGCGTAGATTGCTAGCTGTTCAAAACAGTACGTATCCTCGATTTGGGACGATTTTTGGCAAAGTTACAGCCAAAAAGCACCAGAAAAAAGTTCACATTTTAAGCAAAATCTCAGATCTTCATTTGCACCCAAAAACTCGGTATTTTGGCTGAAACTATAGACATAATACCTTGCTGAGCTCGTAATTTAAATTCCAATCGATTGGCATTTAAATATGAACCTTAATTAATTAATTAATTGTTTAAAATCAACCGGAAACTGATTAGAATCCATATATTAGATAGTAAGCTCTCCAAAACAGTGCGTGCTTTCCATTTACGACAATTTTTGGAAAATTTACAGCTGAAATTAAGTGAAAATGTAATACCCTCGTAGAGAAGCCATCCCAGTAATAAAAAGAACTTTTTATTTATTTACAAAAGTAATATTTTTCTATTTTATTTTTTACTTTCCTTTTTTAATCGTAAAAGAACATCTTTAAATGTTTGTTTTGCTTCCCAACATTTCGTTCCATCTCGGAGAACAACAGAATGGCAAACAGAAGGCTCACGCACCAATACATTTCGGCTAATCAAATAGAAAACCAAACGCTTGTCCAAATCGATTTTAATCTTGTGTGAAATAATAGCAGGCTCAAAGCAATTGCGGTGCATTGCTCTTTCCTCTTCAAGTTTCGAGATGGTAAATATTTGATGTTATGCTTTGCCGCTGGCAGCTGGTTGCTTTCTTGCTAATTGATATATCAAGTACGGATTTGCTTCTGCTTCTCGCCGGGATTGGCCTCGAGTTTCGCGGGGAAACTGATCAATGGAACTGCTTAGCGAGGCGGCTTCTGAACACCTTACGATTTTACTCGCTAGTTTGTTTTCATGGTGAAATATATATGTAATAATAATATGCCATATTGTATATAGTAATAATAGTGTATATATAATTTGCGGTATATAATAGTTATAAACAAATTTTTACTTCGTATCTTTAGCATTAATTACAAACTACAATTCGCGTATTTTATTCATTTATAATTGTAATAGTAAATTTTGTTAGATTTTTATCGTTTGTTTGTTTGTTTGTCTGCGGCTTAAATACTTTTTCGTTAAATTTATTATATATTTTTTTGCTAGGCGTGTGCTATGGATTTGTTTGTAGCTGCTGATCCTAATTTAATTTAATTTAAACTCTGCAAAAATGGCTGTGAGCTGTCTGTTACTATATAATTGTGGAAGTGGCAGCCGCTGTGCCCGATTCAAAATTTCTATGGCCTCAACTGAACGTCTAACTTATGGACTTATGGAATTGCTCTAATTAGTTGTCGTACAATAATTTCATTGCTGGAATCTCTGGCGTTTTTTCGTTTTGCTTGTTTTTTTCGCGATTTTTGCTTGCTCTAATATTGTTTGTCCTCCTCTCAAACTCCTCTTCTCGTTATCTGTGTGGGCGTGGCTTGGCTTGGCATGGCATCACTTGGTAATGCGGCCAGGCGCATGTAGTAAATATAAATTTCGATCTCCGCTTATCTCCTCAAACATTTTGTGGCGACTTATCACTAAGTATATACTCGTAAATTGTTAGCGCTGCTTTTACTTTTACTTTTTTTCTTGTTCAGTAATCAAATATATCGGATCGCATACATATGATTCGTTTGTATATTATGTATTTGTGGGTGTATATCAATTTATTTAACAAACTACTAATTACGTTTCACTACCAAAAACTACGCATAATATATAGTGTATATTTTTTAAATATGTTTTGTTTGCGCATTTCTCGCACTGTTGCTCCGCGTTTAAAATTCCATTTAAAAATGAACTCGTCTAAAAAATTAATGTACAATAATAATTATAATATAATAATAATAACTGTTTCTCATTCTCAAATTTATGTTTTGCTTGTTTTTTTAAAAAGTTCTTCCCCTTCAATTTTTGCTTTTTGTGGTCTTCGCTTTTTGTTGTTTTCTCATTTGATTCGCTTAGTTCTCAATTTGTGTTTAAGCATTTAAAATATCACCAATATTTTTGCTCTTTATTCTGACAGTTTCTCGATTTCGATTTAGTTTTCCCATTTTTTTGTGGTTTCTTTTAGTTTGTCGATTTTGTTTTTATAAAAATTAAATAAAATTAAATATAAAATGTACAACTATTTTGTGTTTTTTTTTTCGATTTTCTTTTGTTGTTGGTTCTTTTTGCGTTTGCTTCCATCATTTCATCTGGCTTTGCTTAAGTAATCAAACGAAATGGGGCGTGCGACCGCTGGGCGTGGCACTAAAAAATTTGCATTAAGTACAAGTGCTTAAGTTGCACAACGAGTCTCTGTGTGTGGGTATGTGAATTTTCTGAAATCTGCTCGGATGATTTTAAAGTACTTGCAAATACTTTTCCAATACGAATTTTCGCATTTCCCTAATCCCTCAGTTCGACCGGTGCATATGGAATGTCTTTCTGCCGCCGCTGCTGCTGCTGCCACGCCCAGTGGGCGCTCGCCTTGGACCTTGGGAACAGCTCTACTAATAATACATACAATTACGGTACACAATACAATACGATACAGTAGTGGAGCCCACGAAATTAGAGTACATAGACGAACGAACTTAGCTTAGGAATAAATTCACACACAAATAACAAACAAAATAACTTCGTTGGCAGGAACGGGTGTTCGGAGAGGGCGGGGCGGGGGCCGTAGGGCGTTTAGGCCAATAACAACAAGGAGAGGCAACAAACTAAAAAATCTAAACAAAACTGAGGCAACATCGTGGTGGTTATGGTGGTGGTGGTTTGGTGTTTGGTGCTGGCTGGAGGTGGAGTTCAGGAGTGGTTCCCTGCATTCCTCTACGGTATGTTGAAGTCCTGCAGGTTGAAGTTGTCGTTGTCGAGGGAGTTGATCAGATCCTGCGTGGAGAAGTTGCTGTCCACGGGCAGGTTCTCCAGGAATTCGAGACACAGATCATTCGAGTTGGCCACCACCGAGTTGATCGTCTGGCTGATGGAACTGGCGCTGGCAATGGTCGACGATGCGCCCGCCGCCCCACCACCTCCGCCCCCGTTGTTGTTGCTGGCCGATCCCCCTCCGCCCCCGGGACCCATCTGCATCTGCATCTGCTGCTGCTGGTGCGTCGTGGTGGTGCTGCTCTGCTGCACGAACTGCTGCTGCTGCTGCATGGTGATCTGCTGCTGCGTCTGGCTCATGTGCATGCTGGTCATCTGCATCTGGCTGGCCATCATGTTGCCTCCGCCACCGCCGCCGCCTCCGGACTGTTGCTGCTGCAGCAGTTGCTGCATCTGCATGTTGTTGCCGCCACCGGGACCCATGTGTTGCTGCTGCTGGCGCATCAGTTGCTGCTGCATTTGGGCCGGGGTCAACTGCATTTGCGGCACATTCGGGCCGGACATCATGCCACCGGGATTAGGTCCGCTTCCCGCTGGACCATTGGGTGCTCCATTGGGCATGAAGTTGCCTGTTTAAGGAAACATAACATTATAAGTAAGGAAATCTCTGATTTATTTAAATCTGCAATACTCACCCCCATTGAATCCTCCGGGTCCCTGGCGCATGGGTCCTCCGGGACCTCCTGGTCCGCCGAAGCCCATCTGCGTCTGCTGCTGCGTCATCATCATGTGCCGCCACTCCTGCTGCGATCCCATCGGCATGCCATCTGGAGTCACCTGGACATTGGGCGGTCGCTGCTGCTGCTGTGGTCCGCCCATAGGTCCACCTGCTCCTCCGCCGTAGGGCACGCCGCCCATGCCGCTCCTGGGACCGCCGCCTGCTCCGCCGCCATGCTGCTGCATGTACATCGCATGCTGGGGTCGCATCATGGGACCCGAGGGCGGAATGGGCTGCTGGGTCATGCGTCGCATGGCCGCCGCCTGGGCAGCGCTGTTGGGGAAGCGACCTCCATTGGCGCCGCCTACTCCTCCAACGCCGACGCCTCCCACTCCTCCTACGCCCACTCCTCCGCCGCCCACCGTCTGCTGCATCATCTGCGCCTGCATCAGCTGCGCCTTGGTGGCATTGTACTCGGGGGGAGGAGGACGGGCGCCGGACATGTGCTGCTGTTGCTGCTGCATCGCCTGGGCGCGCATCATCTGCTGCTGCTGCAGGAACTTGGCCTGGTTGGGATTGGGTCCCGGACCTGCGCCCGGCACTCCGCCCGGTCCGCCGGCCCCACCGCCTCCGCCCATCTGCATCATCTGCTGCGGCGACGGACCGCCGGCATTCATCTGCATCGGGTTCATGGGTCCGCCCATCTGCATGCCCGGCATGCCGCCCATGGGTCCGCCCATCTGATTCATTGCACCGCTGTTGGGACCGCTGGCCACGCCCACGCCCACTCCATTGCCTACGCCTACTCCTACGCCAACGCCCACTCCTCCCACCTGCGGCTGCTGCATGAGCGGCACGTTCGGTCCGCTGGCATTGGCCGCCGCCTGCGCCTGCGCCGCTGCCGCCGCCGCTGCTGCAGCCGCTGCCTGCGCTTGCGTCTGACGCTGGCGCATGTTGGGCGGCACCTGTTGCTGCTGCGCCGCTGCTGCCGCCGCCGCTGCCGCCGCCTGTTGCTGCTGGTTGAAGTTCATGCTTTGGCTCTGGGAGAGCGAGAAGCCATCGGAGGGAACTGAAATGGTTAAGGTGGGATTAGTTAACGATCTATAACCAATGGGAGATCGTCCCTACTAATTTAAAGTACGCGAATTCTTTATTAAAAGCACCTTATTTTTGATCAAAAAATGCTTTAATGATTGCGCTTAAGATTTTTTAAGTTGAAAAGCTATCTATCTTTCAGAATCATTGTATAAAAAACATTGATGTTTTACGATATATATTTTAATATTTTAAAGCCTTAAGGACTTTAATGTTTTTCTTAATTTTCTGAAATATAAATACTCAAATATTTTAGAAACCATTTAGTTACTTAGACTTACCATTTGCATTGCTCATGTTTTGATTTGGTTGCTGCTGCTGCTGTCCGGGATTGGGAACGCCATTGCCCACGCCCACGCCCACACCCACGCCCACTCCGCCGCCAGCGTTGCCGCCATGCGGCTGTTGCTGTTGCTGCTGGGGATTGGGTCCGTTGTTGCCGCCGGGCTGCTGTTGCTGCTGCTGTTGTTGCTGCTGCTGCTGCGCCTGCTGCTGACTGAAGAAGACGCCTTGCTGGGCGGCCACCGAGACGTTGCTCTTCATGTCGCCACTCAGATGCAGATGCTGACCAGCCGACACCTGTAATGGGATACAAATTTGGGATTAGTAATATGTTTAATAATTAATTGGTTTTGGGATCAAATAAGAGGAATGAGAGGACGAACACAAATTCTGTTAAGCTGGCCGAATGAATCTCGTAGCGAGCAGATCAAATAAATCAGTTAGTTACATTTGGCGCCCAACGTGGGGCCATAAACAAGCACATTAAATATGCTTTTGATATCCGAAATGAGGATTTTCAAAAGTATGGCAATAGAAACATTTGTAGTTTTTCATTAAATTTTTAAATTAAACACACAGAAAACTTGTTGCCAAATGAATGAGTAGATAATAAATATTCTCAAAAACTCGAATTCAATCAGTAAAACGTATAAAAGAGCATAATACTGCGAAAGGGGATTACTCGAAACTCTCAAAAAATTCCAATGACACTCGGGGATGAAAGAGATTTTGGAAAGAAGACGAAATTGACTTCAAGCATATCGCATGGATCTTTGATCTTATTTGTGTTATGCCAGGGACATGCAGCCCCACACTCGACACATGCGACACATTCGGCACTCGAATGGTTGTCACCGGCTCCTGGCACTTTGGTAATTTGCCTGGCATGCCAGGGCGAGGGATTTTTGAGGCTAATACCCGACACATAGCTTGGCATCCTTGGAGTCCTTAGAAGTGAAGGGGGGACGGAGAAGGGGACTCAAGCCAACACCTTCTCCATTTGCAGCTGTCTCATTTGCTGTCAGTTCACACACACACACACTATAAACTGGGTGGGTGGATTGGCAGTGGGTGGAAGTGGCAGGCTTTCAAGCTTATTATCGCCAGGATGGCTTTCGAATCCGCATTGACTGCCAAACACACACACACACAGTCACCAAGAGAGAGAGAGAGAGAAGCCAGAGGCAAGCATAAATCTTTCGGCACTTTTTCATAGTCTACTTTGCTGCGTCTGTCTGTCTGTGTGCGCTTTTCGAGGGATTCCCCCACTGAGCAGCAAATTTGCCATTCATTTGTTATTGTAATGGGCCCGAAAAGAGCGCCGGGCGACATGCAAAATGAGCGGAGGACAGCACAGCGCCAGCGATCGACCCTGGAACTTCAATGTCGACCCAACTCCCACTTTTCCCACCCAAAACCCCCTTCCACTTTGCCCTCGGTTGTTTGCCCTCGGAACTCGGAACTCGCCACCTCGCCACTCGAATCTGCGGGCTGGAAATAAATCCTGTCACCGGACACACCGCACACCCTGGCATCGAAGTTTCCTTGCCTTTGAGCCACTCCACTTGGGGCACGAAAAATTCAAGGCTTATTTTTCTCAACCCCTCCAAAAAGGGGTTTTCACATTTCACATGTGTGACCAAAAGCAATGGCAAATGCAATAGCAGCAACAATCACAGGAGCAATATCAAGCGCACTAAGCAACTTTGCGGTCGCGTTTGCCTTTTTGCATCCAGTCATTTGTAAATTAAGAGTATTTTGGGTATGGTAAAATTCAGGAAAAGTATTCTTAAAGAATAATAATATAATATTAGAAAATTTACAAAACATAACCAACTGTATCCTAAATAAATAAATCAAAGTAGAAAAAAGATAACTAACAAGTTAATTAAAAACGATTAATTAAAATTTAAAAACCTTTTTCTACAGTTATAAAATCCTAAAAAAAAAATGTAAATTAAGTAGACTTGTTTATAGGATATCGAAATGTCTATCCTTTTCAACAGTGGTCTTTGTTCCTGTGCCTCTTTCATTTTCTGCTGTTGCTGTAATTGCTTGTTGGTTTAATTTATTGTGTGTTTTCTGCAGCACCACGCATTTTCATTTTTCGAGCTCGCGTGCGAGCAGGACAGCGCTATGCGGAGCAGGGGGAGTGCGAGTGGGATAGCAGGCGTAAAGTACGCTGATTAAAAGTCATGGACTCTCGTCGGGGCTAATTGAAGTTTAGTGCCTTGGCTTTGGCATTGGTCGGCGTGTGTTGGCAACCTTCTGCCGAACCACCGAGAACAACCCACCCACTTCCACCCACTACCCATTACCCACTCGTTCGAATGTTGGCCATAAATCATGCGCCTGCCTCTTCGTTTCCAAAGGCAAGGTGTAAAATGTTGCCTCAGAGTGGAGAACGGAATAAGGTGTTTGGCATGATATGTGTGGTTCTATTCCGTACCAAGTAGTAATTTTAAAATGGGAAACGTATATTTTAGATGAAAATATTCTGAGAAAATACAAACGCAACATGGAAAATATTAGAAAATAAAAAAAACCTTTTAAACAAAATTTGAAGAAGTGTTTAAATTTTAAAAAATATTTCAACCGTTCGTTTTTTTTCTGTAACTTAACAATTTCTTTTATAACAAGTTTTTCTGTCTCATTTTTTTTTTCTCTGCATAAAATTAGGAACATAACTTGTTGGTTTAAGGACGCCCAAGGATCTGCTGCTTCTTCCTTTGGCTGTCAGTCATAAATACCTTCCCCAAATGAAGTCGATGGGCCTTGGTTAAACATCGATTGGCTGCGGATCGAAGAAGCCAAGAACAAGTTCATAAAACAAATCATTACAGCAGCTTTCATAAAAAGACAAAAAGCCCCGGCCATTCACATACAAAAACACACACAGGGATACACACACAGACACCCACTGGCGGATACTCGCCCACTAATACATAAAATATCAATAAAAAAAGTTTAAAGGTAACTGCCGAAGGATTTTAAGGGCGGAAGGAGGGGAGACTTTGCGGGTAAACCGGAGACGCCGCACGAGCGCGTAAATCCTGCAGCTATTACCCCAGCGCCGCCATATTGATTGCGCTGGAGACAAACACACAGATACACTCGGGCACAAAGAGGAGATACACACACACACCCATACAGAGGCCGAGGCAAGGACTCTAAGCAGGAAATGCGCATTTGACAAGCCAAAAAGATTGCCGCACGCCCCACGCGCTGTCAAGGGAATGATATGGCATGGGTGGAGGCAGAAAGGGAATGGGGAAAAGGGGGATGGGAATGGGGATGCCTTGCATATAGACTTGACAATGATATATGTGACTATCCTGCCAGTGGCCTGCATGTGTGTGTGACACATGTAAGGCTGTAGCATCACAGTAACGAAAGAAAAAAAAAAAACAATCCACCGAACGAAGAACATAAAACTCCAAAGGAACTGCGGCCGCCTGTTTTTTTGCGAGGGGTTTTCACTCCCATATCTTCAACTCCGCTTGACTGACCAGGCACAACTGTACCCACAACGAAAATAAGGAAAGTAACAAAACTTGTTGCCCACCGTTGCACTTAAAGTAATTGAAAAACTTGCCAGACCCCCCAAACAACAACCAGGTGCTAAAAATCTCAACAAAAGGTTTTATGATTAATTATTGCTATAGCAACCCAAACTTCTCAGCCTTCTGTTTGGACATTAGTAATTTTTGAAGCTAAAATATATATTAGGGATCAAAGATGGTCTTTGGTAGCATTAAATAAATTGAGAAGAATTTTTGAAATATTTTAAATGATATTTAATCTAGATTAAATTAAAGATGATCCTTAGAAATATTACAAAAATAATAAAGAAATTTTTTTATTTTTTAATATTCTAAATATAAAACTTGGAACTCGATGCAAACTGAACATAAAAATGTTGTTACTTCCGTTATTCCCGTTTTAGTAAGTTCCTTGGTTGAAGAAGTTCGACTGTAAGCGTAAAAGTAACTCATAAACCACCCACCCACTGGGAGTCGCTTGGCAGCCGACCAAAAATTGAAGAGTCAATGAAATTAGCAAAGAGGCCACGCCCACCGACGCCCACTAACAACTGCCCCCGAACAACATGATTTAGTCTGGGCTTTAGTTTTGCCCATCTTTCGCCCATATTCGTTTTTTCTTCATTTTGGCAGAGAAGCCAAAAAATCCAAAATGAAGCCAAGGGAATTGCCGGGTGGAGGGGGTAGTTAAGGGTAGGGGGTAGGCGATGGATAGCCACCCGTTGGGCGTCTGTCATTGGATATTTGTGTGACATAAACTAGCTGCCTCGAAGCCCCCGCTGTGAACTCTGCGATCCTATCCCATCCAATCCAATCCAATCCAATCCCATCCAATGAGGTGTCCGCGCTGCGTTATTTAACGAAATTATGACAGCAATGGAGGGAGGGGAAGGGGGATGGAGAATGGAGATACTAGACATAGGAGATGATATAGGGAACGAGCGAAATCTCATTTGGAAAAGCGTTAGAGCAAAGCGAATTTGATTTTTAATTGCCAGCGACAAGCAGGAAAACACAGGGCTCACAAAATCCCATTGCGGGGGTGAGTGGGAAAGGTAATCTGATTTTATTGGGAATTTAAGAAACTTATTATGGCATAAAAACCGTATTAAAAGTAAAAGATTTTGTAAGTTGATATTAAATTAAGGGGATTAAAGTAAAACATTTTATATTTTGAGCTGCATTTATTCTAGATTTTTTGCTAGGGGAACAAATTGTTATTTGGAGGTTATTGAGATCATTTAGAAAGCAAATGTCTTAATATATTCCGTCATTAATATATCCCTTCAAGATTAAGACTTTTAGAATGAATAACCATTGGATTGATCACCCATCAAAGTGTAGTTCAACCCCCGAACACTAGGCACAAATGAAGCAAACTAACCCGATCCCTGTCCGAATCCTTCGGGTTCAATTTGATGTAATTATGCTCACTTACGGTGGCAAATACCTGGTGCAGATTGCTTCCCAGCACACTCTGCATGCCATTCGCATTCCGAGATGCAGGCAATCCTTAACTGCTGTCCAGAGGGGGTGAAATGGAAATCTCCCGGGAGAAGGGAACGCGTCCATCCACATTCACATTCACATTCCCGTCATCGTCATCATTGTTGATGCCGACATATCAGCCAACTTTCAGCGCGCCAAGCGGTGTGAGTTACACCCCCGTTTTCCCCATTTTCCTGCTGCTCCTCTTGCTTTTCCTGCCACCCAAAGGACCCTAGTTTTTCCCAGTGGAAAGGAGAGAGAAAAACT